AGCTTTAATTAAATGGAAACAAAAAAAAAATAGAACAAGTCAAATGTTAAGAAAATAAGATTTTTCAGTTAACAACAAAAATAAAGTTAACTTATACTAGATGCTTTAAACTAGAAATTTTCTATTAACAACGAAAAATAATTAACTTAATTCAATTCTAAATGTTAATGTGGCTGAGAATTATTGGTCGTTTAAAATCCTACGTGGGCAGCATTAGAAATTAATAGCATGAACTTTTCTTAAATTTGACCAATAGTTATCATCAAACATATTTTACTGAGTTAAAATTTTCTAGGATTTTCCTATATATATTTTAAAAATCTTATGCAATGGTTTTTAAGATTTTTACTACTATAATTTGTTTAGACGATTTCTAATCAAATTATTTTTTGGGAAATATTCAATAAAACATTATTGAATAAAATATTATAATATTTTCTATATATATGTGGTGAAATCATATGTGAACAATAATACTTATGTTTAGTTAATAAATTTCGCTTCTATAATTAGTTTTATATAAAACTATTTAACTATCTCTTAATCATAACCATCCATATACCATTCATTCACATCATTAAAAATCATCTTTTCAACATTAGCATGTTTGTTAAAGTCAAAACACTTTTTCTATTTAAAAGTAAAAAAAATCTTGATTTTTACTTTTAGATATGTATTTTAATTTGTCTCGACATTAATTTATTAGTCAATTATAGATAATTCTAAACATGTCCTTTATCATAATTTTTTATTAGTTTAGATTAATGAAGTTTGAACTATCTATATATTTTTTTTTAATATCGAAAATACCAATTTTCTTTATTGCATATAAAAAATAAGAAATTAGATGACTTTTATTTAAGAAAAAAAAATTCATAGCATAGATTATAGAAAATCTATATTAGATGGATTTAGATTAGAAATAGATAGTTACAATTTTTATATAGTGATTGAGTACTAAAAATATCAAACCTTTTCTAAACACGTCAAAAACAAAACGGAAAAATAGTTACACTTTAGTGATATCCATGAAAAAAATAAGTATAAAAAATATGTTTTAGACATTTTAACCACTATAAATTTAATAGGTTTTTCAGCACTTTACCTTTAAACCTTATAGTCTCTCTTCTTCCAAAACTTCTAGTTTGATTTGTGGACGTAACAAAAACCAAAATATGCTTTGCATAAAATTACGAACATAAGTTAACGCACATGTCTACATATTTATACAATAAAA